ATCCTGAAGATTTTCATGACTATATTACAATAAGGAGAATAAGCAAATGATCACTGAAAATTCTGGTAATTTTAATTAAATTCAAAAGAAAATATTTTAGTTACAAAAAAGGGGGGAAATGTGCTTAGTTCCAATGATAAAAATAATATCAAATTATTAAAATATTTTAAAAACAAATCAAAAGTGACAAAATTACATAATTACTAAATTACATAAAATGACTCAAACTATTATCAAACTAAAATAAAACCTAATTCAGAATATTAAATCTATACATTAAATAACAAAAGTAAAACGTGATGCAATACACTTAATTGCAATTATAAAATAATAACCAAAAATATTATCAAGAACTGCAATAAGAATAAATGAAAGCTAAATAGAAATAGTTTTCAAACAAATAAAAAATGGCAAAAGTATATCAAAAATTGTGACATATACTGGTGAAATGGTGAATTATACCCAACATGTTTGAGGAACGCACCCTGTGAGATTGAGATTACTGACTGCTAGATTAGTTCTAGTGGTTTCCATCTCTAGTCCTAGTCTAGGATTAACCATCATAAATATTGCATTTCCATGGCATACTGTCAGAGCTATGGTGAAGTGCTAAGAGTGAAGAGAGGACCACTCATTTGGCAGTTGTGTTTATTGATTTCTGATTTATAAAAAATTAAACGGAAGAGCAATTTGTGACAATAATTATTTAGGATTTACAAAATTGAACCAACTGAACACTTGAGGTTGGTTTGGGTTTTTGAAATGTATGTTAGGGTGTTTGTTCATAGCTGATCTTAAAAAAGCTATTCTAAAAGATTTATAATCTAAACAGTAGTTATTCAAAACACTAATTTAGAGAACATGTGATTAAAGTCTTTATAAATAAATCTAACAATATATACAAATGTTATCATTAATGAGTTTATATTAGCAATTCAGCTACTGTGCAGTGTTTCCATGATGCATTCAGGTCAGCACAGATGCATCCTGATCCTAAGTACCGGTCCTGATATCACTAAGGTCAGAGGTTAGAGGTCAAATGCGAGTGACAAAGCCCAGACGGAGGCTGCTGGGCACCTGTAGGAGCTCTAGTGCTTGTGGTGAGAAGGAGAAGGGGAAGGTGACCTGGAAACGATACTGTGAATCCATCATCAGCTGAAACGACCCCTCGCGCTCCAGCAGCGCCTGTTATCATAGAGACAAAACAAGGGCCAATCAGATGAATGCTTTGAGATCATTTCCCTTTATATTACCATTCAAAAGTTTGGGGTCAGTAAGATTTGTTTTTACAGAAATTAATACTTTTATTCAGCATTAAAGTGCTCAAAAGTGAGAGTAAGTGACATTTATAACGTTACAAAACAAATAAATGCTGTTCTTTTGAACTGTCTATTCTGGATACCCGTTGCCCTTCAACATTGCTCAAAAAGTTGCCCTGTGTATCATCAGCCTATGCCAGGATAAAACACCTGTACGCACCTGATCTGCATGCCCTTGCGGCAGGAGCACAGGTCCTAGCGGAGCAGGATGCTGTTCACCGACGTGGATCCGATGAGGGAGAACAGCTGTCTTATGACCTGACCCTGCAGCTGCGGCTCCATGCTGGTGTGGAACGCGTCGAGCTGCTGCAGGACAGAGGTCACGCTGAACGGCTCCGACCCGCTGCGGTCCCCGCCGTCCTCGTACACGCTGTTTGAGCTCTTGCGGAAACCGGTGGGCTTCATGCTGGAGATTCCCTGGAGACTCTCGTGCTCCAGCATCCCAGGGACTGAACGGAGAGAGTGGATTAACAAGACGGAACAAAGGAAAATGCATTATAACACTACTGTATCGACTTTATTTCCATACTGATCATGGGAAAGAGCGCGTCCTCCATCACGCTGATGAACTGATGATAGATGTTGATGGCGAGGTGCTCTGAAAGGTCGAAGTTCCTCAGGCAGTTCTTGTTCTTCGTGTTAAGCTTCGTGAACTCCTGTTGATGCAGGGGAAATGAACAATCTCATTGGTTGGTTTCAGGAATGATACAGTAAGACATCTTTGAAAGTGTTGATGAATCAGGAAATATAAATAGCATTTTATGGGGTCTGTGATAGCTGTCGGGAGGAGAGAGACACAGAAAAGGACTTTACCTCGTCCCCGCTGTACTGTTTGAGACAGTTGAAGAAGTGATATGTGTTTGAGAGCCAGAAGGACAGAAGTTAAAAATTCTCCTGCTGGTTCTGAAATCATAATCATCAGAATCATCATCATCTCTTTTTTTGCTTACAGAAAATTAAGCATGTTTACTATGTCAACTATTATATTTTTGCACTGACATTATATTTTATTATAATTATTTTATTTTTGCATTTATTATTATTTTATTATTATTGCTGTTTATATATTACTAATATATGTATATATAAATCAGCAATAAAGGCAGTGCAATAAATATTACCATGACGTACATATACACTTCACAATTTTTATTATATATTTACTGTAATACAATTTATTTTATTATAATACAATTTATTATTACATTTATTTATATTATTATATGATATGAATATATATATATATATCATAGTATTTGTTGTACTCCCTATAATCTCTATAATAAACACTATGATGACAATATATTATTTTTTATGTTATTTCTTTATATTACTATATCATCATATTAATACAAATATTAATATTAATTTTTTTTTCAAATATTTGAATTTATTTTCGTTTTATTAAGCAATTATTTTATTTATTACATAGGCTACATACTGTTTGTCATTAATGACAAGGAGATTTTGCATTACAATAATGAGAATTCACCCATACTAAGAGTTTCTGCATTAAAAGCTGAAAGTAACCATAACCAAATCCATGTAAAAATCCACATCTGTCAAAAACATCCAGAAAGCACAGTCTTTACAGATTCCTGAATATAACAAAGACCTTGCAGTTTCTCTAAAAAGATCAAACAGCCACATACAGTACACATTCAGAGGGCAGTCCAGCATGCACAGCGTCTTACCGTGATGACCTCATGATGGCTGAGATGATGGAGTTCATGAGGGACTTGAGCTGGTTTCCGTCATTGAGGTAATCGGCGTGTCTCACACACATGAAGAGGAGATGTGCAGCCAGACCAGGGATCATCTGCACACCCACACCACGGGGTTTCAGCTCTGCAGATTACAAACCACTGAGTAAAGTATGATTGGACTTGCACACCTATGCTTTAAGTGATGGATTTACCCAGTATAAGTGTCCGGATCAGCCTGCTTTCATCCTCCTTCTTGTACTCCAACATGCCCAAGTACTCTTTGGGCATGGCCGGCGCTGCTTTCTGATTGGCTGATGAGGATACAAAACATGGAGAGGATGAGAACGGATTGGCTAAATGTGAAATCAGGTGAATAGAAAGAGTTTTACCCGTCGCATTTGTCTGAAGGGCTTTGATTTGGTCTTGGAGTTATTTTATCAGTCTGTCCTTCATGTCCAGCTGCTCCTCAAAGTCCTGAAACCAGACGAAAATTATCTTAAAAATGAGATTAATATTAACATATTGACTTTTTGGACCACAAGACCTAAATGTTCCTCAGGAGGACACTGATTCTGGTGCCACTAAAAGTCAAAGTTTAAACATAAATAAATAAATGCATAAATTATTTAAAAAAAATGTGAATAATATATATAAATAACATTTTATTTAGATATATTAATATTTATATAACATTTTATTATATATATATATATATATATATATACAGTATACCGTATATATATATGCATAAATTAATAAATAAATTGGCATATTCTTGCATAAATAATATAAATAAAATATTTTATAAGTAATGTATAATACATATTAAATAGTGAGGTTAAATATATTATAATATATAATATTAAGCATGTTATATATTGGTATATAAGCTTTATAATTAATTATTAAAATATACTAAATTATATTTAATAAACAAAATATTATTTATTAAAAATTCAGCTTTTAATTTTGCATTTTCATTAGCATTTTTGCATACCTCCAACCATTTATTTATGTTTTATATTACATTATTTTTGCTTTGAGGGGTGCATATATTTATTATGCATGTATTTTTCTTTATTTCTAAGTGGCTTTGTATAAAAGCTAAATGAATTAACATAATCGCAGATGTAATCCTGAGCGTGCCCTTTCAAACACACCATATTCTCAGCTGTGAGGCGTGACGTCTCCTGTCTGAGTTTGTTCTTGGCTTCGCTCTCCGAGAGCTGGGCTTTCTGTAGCTGCTCGTTCTCCTCCTGGAGGTCAGCCATCTGTCTCTCCATCTCTTCTCTTCTGCTCTCGCTCTCTGTAATCTTCTCCTCCAGGTGCCTATGAACAGATGCACAACACCTGCGCCGTCAGCCTCGTGCCAGAGTCTGTAGTGCAAATATAGTCTGAGGGTAATAAACGCCTCACCTGTGCTGCGATTGCTCCTCTTCAACAGTGAGCTGAAGCTCATTTGATAACTCCTTTATTTTTGCTGCCACATACAATTTTAGAAGTGCAAACATGATCATAA